AGCTTTTGAATCAGCAACAGTCTCCGCAATTAACATCTCAGCAACAACAGCAGCAGCAATTAATCGGAACACAGCAACAGTCACTTGCACAGCAACCATTGATGACACAACAACAGCAGCAACAAATCAATTCACAATTACCTCAACATCAAATGTCATCACCACAGCAATTATTAACACAGCAAAAACAGCTAAACCAACATCAAATTCTTCCGCAACAACAAATAAACCAACAACAGCAACATTTATCACAGCAGCAGCAAATTACTACTCAACAACAATTAGTCCAACAACAACAAGTGCAACTAACACCCCAACAGCAACAGCAAATAGTTTTACAACAACAGATTCCTACTCAACAACAACAAATTGGGACACAACAGCATCAATTGAATCAACAACAAGCTCCACCGCAACAACTCACCTCCGAACAACGGCAACTTATATTATTGCAACAACAGCAACAACAGCAGAAAATTCAACAAATCTCTCAACAACTGCAACAATCTGCGCCTCAAGGTTCACAACAATTTGTTATAAGAGACGGTCAGTTACAGCAGCAACCTCAGAATCAACAATTAATGGGTCCTAATCAGCAAGGTTTTATTGTGCAAAGAGATTCGCAATGGCAACAGCAACAATACCATTTGCAATTACAAAGACAGCAACAACAACAAATCGGCCCGCAAAGACCAAGTGGACAATGGGCTCAACAGCCACCACAGCCACCAAGACAGTTAATTCAACTGGATGCTCAAACTCATCAACAGTTACAACAAATGGATCCACAGCAAAGGGCTCAATTTATCCAAAAAATTCAGAAACAAAGAAACTTGTTACTGCAGAGGCAAATGCAAAATCGTCAAGCGCAACAAGGCGCGCATATCGCTGTTATACGAAGTCCAGGAAAACCAGTTCAACCTGGTGGTTTGCAGTGGATTCAGCAACCGCGTCCTCAGATGATAGGACCTCAACTTGCGCAAACACCTGGTCAAAAGCCGGTACATTCTGGGGTTCAACCACCAGCCTTAACACCAATTAATTCTTCTAATCAGGTGATTGTGCAAACCAATCAAAATGTGCAAGGTCCACAAGCCGGCCAACCTGGTCAAACGTTTCAACAGGGTCAAGCTTTAACTCCTCAACATATAGCGCAATTACATATGCAGAAACAGCAACAAATGGCAAGGTTGCAACAACTGCAACACTTACAGCAGCAGCAGCAGCAGCAACAACAACAACAACAACAACAGGGCGCGCAACAAGAGCCTCCCTTGACTTCGTTGTCGAATAATGCCCAAATACCACCAGACCAACAATTAGTCGTTAATGCAAAAACAAAAACGGCCCTGGCAAACATGTTGACGAATAGATTACAGGGTAGTGCTGCTGAAGGTAGTGCGGCTGGTCAACTGAGATTAATGACCGCGCAACACAGACCACCGCCACCGCCGTCTCAGGATCCACAACTTCTGGCGGCATATCAGCGAAGAACCGTTGGTAATATCACAAATGGAACACCACCCGGTGCGCCAATAAAGATGCAGTATGCTTCGGTGATGCCTCAAGCGAAAGCTCAGTTCTATGGTCACAATCCAAATCTGAAACGTATGATTTTCCAGTTTCTTAAAAACTCTTAATTATGACTGCATGTTTTTTTATGTACCTGTGTTTTATCCGATTGAAAAGTTTCTTGAAATCCGCAGTGTACTACTATTAATTAATCTTCATCTTTACCTGGAAATTTCTTTTTTTTCACTAGAGTAATAAATTGTTATTTCTTTCCAGTTCCACCAGATCTATTTTTGCTAGGTTGTATCTTCGTTATCGTCGAGTACGATGTGCAACGTCCGAACGATGTTTCCGTATGGAAACAAGTGATCGAGAGACACGGCGGAGAGGTGGAACCGCAATATTGTACCCGAGCTACTCATGTACTTGCGATTACGCAGAAACATCCGACAGTAGTGCAAGCGTTACGGGAAGGAAAACGTTGCGTCAGTGCACACTGGCTATCGGATGTAGTCAGTAAACAGCAGGTAGTTCCACCTTGGCACGCACTGCATTTTCCAACGCCATTCAGCTTGACAGAGTTTCCGTGTGCAAAACAAATTGTATCATTGTCTGGATTTGAAGGAGAAGAACGAGCGAAGGTGAAGTATATGCTGGAAGCATTGGGAGCTAAAGTTACCAATTACTTCACCAGGCATAACACTCTCCTCGTTTGCAGAAGGTAGAGATGTTTTGTTACTCAACACAAGCAATCCTGATATTATTGGGGCTTTAATTCTTGATTTAAATGAATAATTGAATTATATGAATTATACCAATGGGTATCGTAAAATGTTGGTGGACACGTTTAGAGATGAATTTGACAGGAAAGAATGATGGAAGACTTTATGTTGATGTTTGTCTTATTTGACTTTGTTTCTAAAATGTTGAGACATTACAGGGGTTATTATAAAATATTTTTGATATTTAATAATTATTACTTTCATTAAAGTGTGAAGTGAATGAAAACAGTGGCATGTTAAGTTAGGTTTTATTTGTTGATTATAAATGATTTATTTTTGTATGCATTATGTATATAAATTTTTTATATAGGGTATACTAACATCAAATTTACCTGAAATAATATGTAATGGAAATATTTATAAGTTATCACCAAGATTTTACATGTGATTCAACATACAAAGTGCAATTAATAACATTTTTCACAAAATTACAGAAATCCAAAGTATCTATCATTTGGAAACAACGTCAAATAAGATAAACATGTATGTAAACTTCTTTTATTTATTTTACATACTAAATTCACCCTTTGCTCCAAATGTACAGAGCACAGAGTAAATGAAGTATAACCACCTTTTATGATACCACGCGTAATGATCGATCATTCGTTACTACCGAGATCCTTATATTTAACAAAAACCATTTCAGACCGGACGGTCAAAAATATAAAAAGGCTCGAGAATGGCAAACAGGAGTAGTAAATGCTCAATGGTTGACGGACTTGCTGTGCGGACAAATGAATGCGCTGCATCAAACCGAAAATCCGAAATATCAGCAGTACAGTCTGGGCAATCCCTTTAGATTGGATTATTCGCTAGTGCCTCATTTAATGGGTATCGTGAACTTGATCAATTGTATCTTTTTCCAACAAGAAAATCATAACTTATTCATTCCATTAGTCTTCCTAAATTTAATTTTCTGGCTGATGTTAAAATACTATTTCTTTCAGCTGCATGGAAAATGCCAATAAACATTACTCAGGAATCGTACGATAAAGTAAAACAGGTTGGTCAGGGACCAAATTCGATAAGAAAGAATAAAAAGCCGCGATTAGACGGCCCGTTACTGAATAAAGATCCACATTTGTTGGGCTTGGACGAACCAATAGTCGTCAGTAATCCCGATCCTCCACCTCCGGATAAGCAACCAAGAATATTGTTCTCTGGTATTAATCCTAGGAAGCATGCGAAGGTAACGTATACAATGAAATTCAGTAAGATCTCCTATTTATACATTTTAAATTCAATGTATAAAACGCGTAAAACGAATTTAATTCATATTATAATAAGGATTTGAATTATTCGTTTAACAGAGAATTCGGGAATTAGGTGGTGCATTGGCAGCAAGTTGGCGAGATGCAACTCATCTCGTGATGACAGCACCAAGAAGAACTGTAAAATTGTTATGCTGCCTATCACGTTGTAAATATATTGTCACGTTACAGTGGTTACTCGATTGTTCCGCAAGGAACACGTTTTTAGATGAAAGTGGATACATGCTTGGGGATCCAGAATTCGAGAAAAGTTTTAATTGCAATATTGAAAAGGCACTGGCCAGCCTTAATAGGGGAACAGTACTTAAGGTAATTTTTTTATTAGCTAAGCTGTTAATTTGTTGACAACATATTTTAATCGATACCAATAGTTCGTAAGATGATCATGATTTAAAATTCATACTAAGCATAAACATAATTATTTATTGAATAGGGTAAAATATTTTATGTTACGCCAAGTGTAATACCATCGCCATCAGCGATCGCAGAAATAATTGAAAGTGCGGGTGGAACAATGGAAAAAACGCGAAGATCTCTAACACAGATTCAAGAAATGAATAGTAATAAATTAACTTATATCATCATCACCCATGAAAATGATCTTCATCTTCTTTCTGACGTTTTACGTGTAAATATCAGTAAGTAGTTCCCATAATTTCTGTTTAATTTTTTAAAAGAATATTGGAAGATACATATGAATAGTACAAAAATATTCTCTTACATTTTTTTTTTAATATTTGTAGATGTGTTCAGTGCAGAAATTGTATTAGGAGCAGTTGCACGACAATACTTCCAAACTGAACAAATTTAAATACATGCAGTGTCCAATATGCTGCATTTTAATCCCTCATACAGGCTTACTAAATTTTTTAGTAAGCTATTTTGGAGATGAAAAATTTTGCTTACCTTCTTCAATGGGACAATAAAGAACATAATTTTATGATATAGGAGGAACTATTTTCACTGAAAACATTCCAAAACCTCTCCTTTCATGCTTCGTTTCTGAAAATAGCATATTTTGTATAGCATCTCGAAATAAATCATTTGATAGACCTGTTTTTTTGAAGTCAGAACATGTTGTTCATTCATAATTAAGAAATATTGTTTTACTTAGCATCTTATAATTATTTTTTCCACTCCAGTCTCTGTCTCTCTTTGCGCGCGTATATTTCTCATATTTTGTCATATATATAAAATTATACATATCATTCTAGTTTGTATCGCTGTACACTTATTTTCTTCCATTCTATGTTTCGCTTACTATTGTCTTTATACAATAAGAAATGATTTATGTGTAAGAGTATGTATAATTGAAAATAAATAGAAATACGCATCATTGTGTTCTAATTGTGTTACTGATCGGGTTATGTTATTCTCAGTTCTATTAAAATCGGTTATAAAAAAGGTTTTCTTATGTATATGTAAATATTATATATTCATAGTCAACAGGATCATTTTATTGTACATACAATAAGTCGGGTTAACATTGTAAGAAAAGTGCAAACATGTATGTCGTAATGGAATGCTATGGAATTAAAACTAGAATACGTAATAAACAGTTCTCTACAAATTAATAAAACTGTATACAATTTGCATAAAACTATATAAGATAAAGGACATGTTTTATGCAAAGGAAAATAAATGCAGACGCAATCGATTTAAGAACGAAAAGTATGTCAGTAATAAATAATACGCACGATACGATATAAAATAATTAAATTACGCTATATCATCTATTCTTACAGGTAAATCGTATACTTTTGTACACTTACCATCATCAATTTCGTAAATACTGATACGGAGAGCACTGACCGAGTAATAAAACAACAGAAACATGAACAGTTCAGAAATATCGCATTTAAACCACTTTTTGCAAGCACATAGGATCATTTCAATTGTTTATCGGCACGTAATACAACGAATAAATCGAAGTGTAATCTATGACACAAGTCTAAAGAATCAAAATAAAGGTAATGTAACATCTTCGATTGATCAAGATTTGGTATTCTATAAAATAAAAACTATTCTACGAACCATTTAAGGTTTAATATGATAAAATAATAATTTATATACAAAATCTAATCGACTAGTACATTTATAGCTACAATCATCAGTAATTTATCAGTTAATCATTGATCATCAATTATTCTTAGAAATCTCTGTTTGTATCCAGTTTAGGTGTTGAGCAATGTCTACATAAACGACGAATTGCGATAAGTCACAAGACATAGTGCTACTGTCCAAAAGGGACCTCGAAACGACCCCTCGCAATAGATAACGATCCATTTCGCTATTGTATATTACGAAGCCGCTTCCGCTGTCGCCGTTGCACGGGCCACTTCCGTTTCTCTGACCAGCGCAGAACGTTCGGTTTGAGGTGAACGCGACGAAGTTGCTGTTGCTCCAGAGACAAACTTCCTGCAATTTATTCATCGAACATTATTCACATGTAGTTGAAACGCTTAGAATTTCGTACATCAAACATAAAACTCTATTAAAATTAAATGATTAATTAAATCTATTCCATAAATCTAGAGTCAAGTCATCAATCTTGCTCTATAAGAAAGCATTTTACAGGATATTTCACGAGACATGAAATTGCTGTGAACATTAATTCAGCATAAATCATTGTAAGTTCTATTTATTTATCAGATCTACGATTATACGCAAGCAATCAATTTTGTATAAAAATTTTACCTGAGCCACGATCGGAACCTTGATCTGTCGGGGCTCTTGAACATACGGGTTTCCCAATTCGTCGCGTCCCCAGCCTACTACGTAGCCAACCTTGCCTACAACGTTTAACAGAAGCGAAGATCCGGACCAAAGACAAATAGGTTTTATCATCGAATTGAATTCCACTCTCTCTCGTAGCATCAATATCGCTAAATCTGCATCGGCATTACCACCCGCGACAAAATCGGGGTGAACCTTATACTCTATTATTTCCCGATTCTCCGAACCTTTCTCTCTCCAGTCTCGAAGTCGATAGCGTCCCAAGGATACCAAAAATGAGCCAGCAGGTAGATTTACTTTATTCATTTGTAAACAGTGCGCAGCTAAAAGAATATGTTATAAATGTATAGTATTATAAAATATATCATAATTCTCGTCAATAAAATGTTAGATCGATGAATTATTCATAAATAGGCTGCGGATTTTCATGCAATTATAGAATATTTGGAAATACAAAAATACACAGAATGCTAACATGCAAAAATATATAAAATATATAATATTCATTACTGTTATTTAGTAGGTAAAGCAATTTTTACTTTGATTGCATTTTTTCAGTTGTGATTCGCAAAAGTTTGAATTTGCATAGATATCCGCAGCCTTTTCATAAATATTTATAATTATTATTTGTCTTTGTGATGACTAAGAAAAAGCGGAATCTGCTTAGTCACTAATTGACAAATTGACTTTTCATTTGCAATGTGTACTTCCTGATTTTGCTTGGTTTAATGATGAAAGAGAAATGAAAAGAGCCAGTTTAATTATTGGTACGATGACTAAAGCTTTTTTATATTTTTAAAGTAATCGCTCTTTCTCTCGCTACGAGTTTAGAGAATATTTAATATCGTGTTAAATTTCAATTATAGCATTAAATTGATATTTAAAATATAACACGTATGAATATTTCTTTCGCTGTCTGTAGTGAATCTTTTACTTTAATTTAATACTATTATTAGTATATTATTATTATTATTATTATCTTCTTTTCAAACATTAGACGGGAAAAATATAAATAAATATTAAGGGCTTATTAAAGAAACTGAAGTTTTACAAAGTACAACTCTAATTACTATAGTTTGTTAAGGAATTAATTATTAACAAAGTTAATTATAAAAAAAGTTACAAACCTGTAATAATATGTGTATTCGAGATCAACGTGCCTGAGCACTGAAATTCAAATTTTAATTTGACCAAAAAGATTGCTACCACCCATGGCCACTGACCAGGGGACGCTTTCTCGCCTCTAGCTATGAGAGGATTAACAGGTTCGATACTGCTTCGACCACACGCTAGATTAATTTGTTCATTATTTGGTGGCACGAGTTTAATATTTGGCACATTTGGTCCCATTTGCGAGGGTTGCGAAGGTTCGCGTCGATCGATCATTGATGGAGGCGGATATATATTCCTCATCCCGTTCCAATTATTATTGTTATTAAATTCTGGCTGCTTACTGAGAGCATTTGCAGGTGGGTAGAGTGTGTGATTTAATACAATAGAGGTGACAATTGGTCCACTTGCTGGAATTACATAAATAATTAACCAATTATTTATAATCGATTTTTCAAATTATCTTAGTTAAATTAACATTAAATCAAACTAATCAAACTTTGTAAGTTTGTATATCTAAGAAATTATATTTCATTTGATGAATAGATTATATGCATTAGATCATATACATGAAAATTGTAATTAAAATCAGAATTAATGTAAGTATTTAAGGAAATATAAAGATATACAGTAATTGTCGTTAAATGCTTTGGCCGATTATTATATTCATTTAGCGTACTGACATAGATTAGATCAATGCAAACAAATTAAAGGGACTTATTTAATTAAAGGAATCTTTCAAACTGAGAGAGATGTTGATAATAACTTCTAATATTTTCTACGCAACATTAGTTTTAAAGAGAATGAACAATGCATGATTTATTTTTGAAAAAGTATACATACCACGTGGACCGAAACAGATAAATTGATCGTTGAACCACAAACTGCTTAATAATGGTATTGGCTGAGGTAGAGGAAAATGGATTTTGTACGACAGAGGCCTGCCCTCGTTCACTGCCTTAATAGATTGTTCTTTCGAAGTTGCCAATTCCAATCGTCCAACGTATTTCTGAAATACAGGAAAATCATTGGCACCAGTTCGATATATTTTCCTAATATATACATTTTTTTTTTAAATGTGAGCTGATTGAAATGAACATTGGAAACATCAATTCGAAGATATTTTTCCCATTTCATGTAAAACGATAAGTGTTAATTATTTAGCTTATTACATATTCATCTAATTCTAGATTACTATTTTTATCATTAAATCTGGGAAAATTCAATGAGTTAACGTTAAATATACAATAGATTTGTACACACAACATCCAATAACGCAAATGCTTGTTAATGATTCAATATTCGTTAACGTTACTATATGACAAAAAGTTTCAAGCTTCGAATATATCACGGGTCATCATTTAATACATTTAATCGTACGATTGTACGTAATTACGATCAAACGCGGATTTCAAAGAAAGATGGTAAGTACTTCATTCACGAAAAAACAAGATAGTTTGCAATATACAAGATCACCATTTAGTTTCAATTATTCATTAGCGTAATGCTTAGTATCTACTTGTTGAAGCAAGTTTAACTCTTCTGACTGCATTTCCAAAAACTATTTTGAACTAAACACTTATTTACTTACGATACGTATTATATGAATCGTATAATAAGTTACTTTACTGTTGTATTCAAGAATTTAAAAGAACAGTGAGCCAAAGTGGTTAACTCCACTTTTTGAAATTTTTTAAATTTCAATGCCAATTCACTTTGATCGATGCTATCTCGATATCGATGCTATCGATGATATCTTATATAATTTCATCAATTTTCTCTACATCTTGTTTTGTGGAGTTCTGGTTTAGCCAATAACCGACTCATATACCGAGGAAGACGTTATATTTGATTCAAAGCGGCAGATATGTAGACAAGCAAGAAACTTTCATAGTCATATTTTTCGAGATTTCAAGGTCAGTAATGTTTAAAAGCTCAATTTACCGAAGGTAGTACAACAGCGATACTTAAAGTGACGCTGAGTTGCAAGATAACTCCACGTGGTGGGAATGGTATTTCAATGTAACCGATGAGTTCGTTTGAGACATCATCCTGAATATATCGGAAGTAGTTGGAACACGGCGACTGGCCAACTACCCCAACAAACAATTGAGAAAGATACACCAGCAAAATAGTCTTGACGATGATACTGATCATCTTGGAACTCTGTAACATGCCATAAATTAATAATGTATATCTGCAATTTTGATAAAAATATACCATTTGAATGGCAAGAAAACAAAGAAAGTAGATTACGTGGTTTTCGAGCACAGAGATAACAAATTTTTTCTTTCGACGAAAAAGCGATCTTGTAGAGTGCAGAGGGAAATAGACGATGAATCTAAATGAATAATTTCAAAAGGAAATCTAACTAAGAAGCGTCTCTATTCCGCTTTATTCTTGATTAACACTGTGCTCGATACGTTTGCTCCAAGTTGAAGAAGATTCAAGGAAATTGATAGATACTACAATAAAAATTCTATAATGTTTACCTCAGCAAGAGATAACCTCTGTTGATAACTTTCTCTCGAAACACTTATTCAGCCAATCTTCGTTAAATACTCTGATTCTCTATACAGGAAGTTAGAAAAAATCAAAAATGTTTAGAGGATGTGATTCTCGGTAATGTGAAAAGTTTATGGACAAAAGCATCGTTCGAAGCTTGCTTTTCCAGTTATAAACAATTTGATTTTGGAGAAAAACAGCTACCGTAGATCAATGAATCAAATGACAAATCTGTTTCAGTCGCATCCCATATTTCTTACACCAAGGAAACAAATAATAGAATTTTGCCTGTGAGAAACATGAAGTGTAAATGAAATGAAGAGAAAGATTCGTCAGTTGATTCATTGTTCTACGCAGTTATCAATGTACATATTTCTAGTATAAAACTAAATCGTTCGCGTAAACTATTCATTATTTTAATATGTAAAATCATAACTTATAAATATTTGATGTCTACCTTTTTTCTATCTTCATAGTTACTTACATGTATCTCAAAATCTACTTGAATTAGCAGCACTGAGTGACATTGACTCCATCATTAACAAATTTGAATGAAAAAAGAAATTCTGAACACAGATTAATCACTATCACAAGTATGCTCACACGAAACTATTCATTCCCTTGAGTATATCGTTAATTATCGTGAATAAAATCATGAAAAATGTATAAAGTACATTAAATATTCAAAAAAAGTGTTTCACGTCACGATATAGGTCGATCAAGATTTTCTACGTTCAGAGTCGAACACTTTTCACTTTATATCGACAAGTTTTAACGAAACGAGATTGATCACGATCTATCTAACCTGGGTTGTCAGTTTACGTTGTAGGTAGGATCTCAACTGACGGTTCACGAGGTACCTACTGTCAACGTTCGCCTTCTAACGCTTCTATGAATCCTCATGAGTGGTAGAGGGGCATCCCCGATAATACCACCTCTTGACCACTTCATTTGTATAAAGAAACCACAATTTTGCATGCGCATGACGGCAGAAAAAAAGAAAGGATTTTACACGATGGTCCTTTCCCGGGGATCAGATTTCCATGAGTCACGTTGAACGCGGAAACTACATCAAAACAATGCAATTCTCACGACATTCTATGATAAACGTTCAAGATAGAACAACATATACATAGTTACGCAGATTGATACATCGAAAATATATGATTTAGTTCTGATGTTTTGTAAACAAAGAACGATATACTAACAGACACACGATCGAAACTACAAAGAAACAAAAATATGTCATCTACTCATCGTGAAAGTTTAAAATCCAAAATATTACTACGATTATATCGAAAAAGAAAGATAGATTTAATCTTCTATGTTACCATTCAAACTACATAGTAAGATCAAATTTTTCAAACGCCTCTCGAAATCGTTTAACTTTTATCTGAAACATTTTTTCATACAACGAATAGTTTTTTATTAGTAATTTCAAACGTAATTATAGCGTATATCGAGTCATTTTTGTACCTTATTATGTGTAATTTGAATTTTCAATTTTTTGTATGTTTCATTAACTATAAATGTTTGAAGCTAAAAGAAACGGAAATAAGAAAAAATATGTTATACGAAGCATTGTTGTAAACGTTTCGTTATAGAGATATAGACAAATATTGGACGCAGTTTAATATATGCGTAACGGTATTAATACTCTGCGTTAAGGAAAAAAATCGGCGATGTTTGCTTTGTCTCCACCGACAATTTTTCTTTATCTTAGCAGGATTCACTGTAAACCGAACGTCACGGTATTTTGCTACCGTTTGTCGTGTATAAAATATATATGTCGATATATGCTAATATATCGATATTTATTTTGTGCATGATTTGCGTTGGAATATGTAAATCCCAAGAGAGTACCACCTGATGATAGTAATCAATGTTACGGGTTAATGAAGAAATGTTGTATTATTACACACCTGTGCATGAATTTCAATCGTTTATTGAGAAACAGTTGTATTTCATGACTGGTATACCAATACAGTAAGAAGAAAACCCCTCCTTCTATGAGTTTTACAAGACGGAGTATATTCAACTCTTATAATAGCTATTTATAATAGATCCCGTAATAATCCGTCCTTTGAAATTCATTATGTCCGTGTCTGGATGGGCATAATAAACAAACCTTTTGCTGATCCGTTCTTCATACTTGAGTATATATTGCTATCCTATAGCGCTTCAAAGGTTTCTACCAATTCTACTTAATCCTTGGAACACGGATGGTTCGGTCGACTACCGACTGGAAGCAATACCTGAGATCGTTCGGATTCGAGGGTACGAGGGTTAATGGAAAATGTATAATTGCTGTACATCCACATTGGTTGAATACAGTTGAACAGTTGTCCATCGCATTATAGAAAATAAAAAATTAGTAAAATGAAAACTATACAAGAAGGTGGTTTGGTGGCTAAAACAAATCGTTTGGCTCCCGAGATCAATTCCGAGATCCCACATCTCTTGATTTTTACTTATTTTTACTTGCAGGGAATTCTAAGACAGAAGTACACGTGCGAAGCGTAAAATCAATGCAACGAAATCCTCAAGAAATTTGGATTATTTTGAAATGATAGTTTAAATGCCTTAAGCGATCGTTTTCGTATTCTTTGACGTGCTACGTACATATTCAGGCTGTGTTCAATATTTGCTTGTAACTTTGTAACAATGCGTTTACGACGAACCTATAATCTGTTGGTATAGTTTGCTGCATAGTAGCTGGAGCATAATCCATATACACCCTCAAGAAATTGTATTATTTGTCCAATAATGTTGAGTGTTACAACATAATCCGACGTATCGAAGATTTAATTAAGAACAATCGCTATTTTTGAAAAATAGAATTTTAGTGCTACGACCATCTGCGCACCACCACTCAGATGCTACGTAAGTAATTTAAAACATTTTCAATACCTGTATTTTTTATTTCTTTGCAGTATTTCTTCATAGTTTAATAACCTGTCGTAAACGTTGAGATTCCCAAAAGGGTGACTCCACAAGCAAAAAACACAAAAAACACCAGTACTGATCCTCAGCCCCTCTTCCAAAGATACAACGCGCAATGAAAGGGAGAATACGATGTATTAAAAATCACCAAGAAAACATATTTTCGACAAAATTGCAGTATCTCTTCAGAATCATCAAGTCCAATCGTTATATCCCTATAAACGCATGCACACATACACATACCAGTTTTGTGCATAAATATATCCAAAATCGCAATCAATCAATCGACATCAATCTATCTCCAATCACACATCGCGAGAACGAACAAGATTGATTACTTCCCTTGATCGAGCGCGACCCTTTCGCTCAATTCTGCAAGTAGAAACATTTGGAAAGAAGGACAAAATAAATTCACGTAGATATATAATCTTCTAGATATGCGATGTTGATTCAACTTATTCTACCAAATAATCTAAATCATTTTTATGTGTTTTAAGCTTCTTCTAACGGTACACCTTCTGTTATCGTGTACTTACATATATATCTACATATACATTACCTTCCCGTCTATTTTTGCACCATAAAGAAAAAATTCGTCTCTAGAGAGTAACCATAAAACTAAAGCCATAGAACAATTTAACTCCCTAAAACTTACTTAAAGTTTAAGGTTATTATATCCATAAACCATGTTTGTTGACATGTTAAATAGTAGTTATATCTCTTTGATCGTTTCATTTCATTCAAAATTTTACATCCTCCACAATTTTTTTCACATATGTAATAAAATTTAGAAAGGATAGTTCATACGTGCATAGGTAAAATGACAGAAACAAAATTAACTATTTGTATACGATCTGCGTTAATATTTCCAAATAATTTCAGTTTCTATCAAATTTTCCATTAAAATCCTTAAATAATATAGAAATAATACCGGAGTGTTAATATAGATTTCATATGAGTTATGGTGATTCCCAATTAGCTTTTGTTGCAATATGTATATGTATCACATATGTTTCGTTCTTAACTGTCAATGGGTACTTCCAATAAGCAGTTTTACGTAGTTGAAATTATCGTAGATCTATTTTTATTATTGTCTCAATTCTTTGAAATTGTTACAAATTGCTACAAACAAATTATCCTCTTGTCCATATGTTTTCGTATATTTACGAATACATTCATGGGTAGGTATGTATATGAATTTGGTGTATATGAACATGCTATGTTACTTTATTGTTAGTTAAATATGACCGATCTGTTCTTTCTTCCCAGAAGGAACAAACTAATCGTCATTTTTATAATAGCTTTTCTCAAAAATTAACTTATTTTAAATAACTTATTTATTGTATCAAGATATTTTATCAATCTATTTTGTCTCCGTTCTGGCTTATTTTAAATATTTATATGTAAACATAATATGATTAAAAGTTCACGACATAAGATATAATGTATATCTGTATGTAAGCTTATATAATTAAAAATTTACGATATAAGATACAATGATTCGAGACTTGGTATAATATTGTCGACAATATTAGAACAAAGTAACCATACGCAAGTGATTAATGATTACATAAAGGAGCTACTTCAATGGCATGAACCACAACAATTCTAGGATTCTCATTAAAGAACATTACCTACTACAGTAGTACAAGCGATTACACACGTGCAGGAATTATATCTATTGACGAATAATTATATGCAATACAAGTAATATAGTAGAGAAGCAATTTTTACTGCCAACGTAACTGTTAGCTATTGGTACAATAAACTCATCATTTGAAATTATTCGATAATAACAGTCATATTTTCTTAATGATAATTCTTATTGCTTAATAATGTCTATACATGTAACTAACTAATTAATGACTATCGCACAATAGTTAAGAATTTCAAAACAAATTTTACGATTTATATATAAATTGTTTCATTGAAGAAAGAAAGTAAAGTTTTTAAAGAAATTTTATAAAATTAACAATATATACGTATATATACGAATGTTATGATTTTTCTTGCGAACGATGACAAAATTATACAATCACTCATGATTATAGGATCTCAAACTCTGAACATATTTGATTATGATTAATGTCTAAAATGGGTGCTTTCCACTAGAATATTATTGCTTACGTCATAGAAATTCCGGTTGCTCTTATCAGTATTACATTGGGGATTCCTAACACTATATGGAAACCGTATCTAAATGAGCAAGGAAAACGTTGATACCAATACTGTGCCTTTTGCTTACTTTCATCATTGCGCAAAGAATAATTTATGTAACAATTTGTTTTGGTTGAAAGAGAAATTTCTTTTAGATTAGACGATAATATGGCAATAAAAATTGGCAATAGATTACTATATGATACTACATATTATATAAATCATTAAATTTATATTAAACCAGATGTTTCTATGCTGACTTTCAATAGCGTAAATGTGGAGAAAAAATAATAATATGGAAACTAAGAAAAAAGTATTTAAAACTTCTAAGTGAATAAAAATACCTTTGTCAAGATTCCAGAAATCCATTATTTATGTAAAATAATAAAACTAGACGTGATTTCTAACATTGTAATGCCTAACGTATTCCTCGCATTTTAATCCTTTTTTCTTCTAAAATTCTTTGCACGCGCCGCTCAGTTTATCCTTGCGTAACAACGTCTGACAAAAATACAATATTTCAATACTCGATAAATATCTACCTCTCAAAATACACAGAACATATCTTAATATCGTCATATAAATCAAAATAATTCTTTGCTATTAATTGCATTATAAACATCTACCTTAAGTAAATGTAATTTACAAAGAATCTTTATAAAATTGTTTACGAGTGAGAATTACTCGTATAAAGATTCAAGATATACCTAACAATCTCTTGAAACGATATCTTACCTATTACAATAACGATAACATGACGTAAAATTTTTCAAGGATATACTTCATAATGTATAATCCACAAACATTGAACACAAATAAAAAATAAAATTTGTCCTTTTGTGAACTGGCATGAGGTGAATGAACAAGTGGCCACATATTAAGAATAATTATAACTTTCTCCTTTTCCTAATCAAAACATTCGCTATTTTTTTAAATAAGAAAGACTACTTGTTCTAGGATACTCACCCCGCTATATTTATTACCAATTCTCCTAAAACTACCTAAACTACATTGACAGCTGAATGAAAAACATCATTTCACGCGAAATGGACAGCGTCTGCGTGGAATCTACGAAATCAAGAGCAAAGTAAATAAGTACCACAACCATCGTCGAGATATATTCTCCATACAAGAATATGTATTTTCACAACTCACCCGTGGGCTATTACTATACATCTGGTCATATTTTAATAGCGTCTGCTTGCAGTGGTTTAAGCTACTTTTGGAACACTTGATGAACTTCCGTTTTCCTTTCTTCTTTCCGATTTCTGAGAATAACATCGTCAAATTCTTCAAATAAATGTTCGCATTTTATTATTCATTATCAATGCGTAGTTTTTAATTAATTATCAATCGATTTTTACAAATAGATTTCTATTAACCAAAATAGGAGAGATGACATGATATTCCGATGCTTCAATGTCACTTTGTGTTTGGATTTCTGTATATAGACAAGTTGCTTACAACTGATAGGTCATAAACGGTTATATAGCCGAATTAGGAAATAATGGTAGGTTGATAAATTAAAAATATTTCACGTAAATTTATCATTGATACTGACTTAATAATATGATATAATATAATACATATAAAAATATTAGACAAGAAAATTAGTTTTCCTATAATAATTTAGTTATTTTTTATGATACCAATTTGAAATCTTTTTAATATATAGATTTGCTAACGGCATAGTAATTTCCTTTAGAAAACCATGATACCAATGTGAAATCTTTTTAATATATAGATTTGCTAATAGCATAGCAATTTCCTTTAGAAAATTTAGTTAATGGAATATTCGATTTTTATCATGTAATCCTTTATTTTGTAATATGTTATAGTTTAATGGACTTTAAATTCGAATCGAGTGCCGCTCTTAACATACATGCGCAGTGAAGACAGCTGTCAGACATGAAGATTCGCATAAAAACATCATAACATAACCTTCTATCAACGTGTAGGCTGTTAACGTGCAGTGAGCATTATTCGTTTTCAGTTTTTCTACCACGTATTTTTGTTGATACAAAGTAAACATTTACAATTCTTTACAAAATTTATTGTGAATTAAAATGGAGGAGATGGATATAGGGAACGAAGAAAATAATGATAAGAGTTCACCTGAGGAATCAGTGGACAACGAAAAGAACGAATCAATAGAGAATAAAGATGAACCCGAAGAAGACATGGACAATGAGGTTGATGATGATCAGGAGTCTGAAGAGGACGATGAAGAGGATGCCGACGAAGCAGAGGTTAAAGCTTTGGAAACTTCTCTCGCTCAGAATCCGTATGATTACACGAGTCATGTAGCCCTTATCAACAAATTGCAAAAAATGGGCGAATTAGAACGATTACGTACTGCTAGAAAAAATATGAGCTCCAAATATCCATTGAGTTCTGAGCTTTGGCTATCTTGGATGCGCGACGAAATTAAATTAGCTACCATACCAGAGCAAAAAGCTGAAGTAGTCAAACTATGTGAAAGAGCAGTCAAAGATTATCTCTGTAAGTTTTGCTTTCAATGTAATAAATTTATTACGTATATTTTACAAATTGATTGTACATTAAAGTACGTTATACATTAAATTGTTTACTATAGGTGTGGATGTATGGTTAGAATATTTGCAATTTAGTATTGGTAATATGGGTACTGAAAAAGATGCAGCAAAGAATATTCGTCAGTTATTTGAACGAGCATTAACAGATGTTGGGCTACATACTATTAAAGGTGCAATAATATGGGAAGCGTTTCGTGAGTTCGAAGCTGTGTTATATGCATTGGTAAGTATAGAATAATAAAAAAAATTCTTAAAATTCTTTTGGGACATGTTTTACACTTACGTTTTAAATATTTAGATTGATCCTTCAAATCAAACCGAAAGAAAAGAACAATTGGAACGTATTGGTAACCTATTCAAAAGACAATTAGCTTGTCCTCTTTTAGATATGGAAAAAACATATGAGGAATATGAAGCATGGCGCTATGGGGATGGTGCAGAAGCTGTTATTGATGATAAGATTGTTAGTGGAGGATATGAGAGGGCGCTATCAAAGCTTAATCTGCGTTTACCATATGAGGAGAGAATTGTTTCCGCCCAAACTGAAGAAGAACTTCTAGATTCGTATAAAATGTATTTGTCATATGAGCAGCAAAATGGAGATCCTGGACGAATAACTGTTTTGTATGAAAGAGCAATTACTGATCTCAGTTTAGAGATGTCAATTTGGCTTGATTATCTCAAGTATCTAGAAGAAAATATCAAAATTGAATCTGTCTTGGATCAAGTGTACCAAAGAGCTACAAGAAATGTTCCATGGTGTGCAAAGATATGGCAAAAATGGATAAAATCATATGAAAAATGGGACAAATCAGTATTAGAAGTTCAAACATTGTTAGAAAATGCTTTAACAACTGGATTTTCTACTGCAGAAGAGTATCGAAATTTATGGATGACATATTTGGAATATTTGCGGCGAAGACTCGATCGATGCTCTTCTGATGAAAAAAAGCAGTTAGAAGTATTACGTAATACTTTTAATAGAGCGTGTGAACATTTGGCTAAATCATTTGGTTTAGATGGAGATCCCAATTGTATTATATTACAATATTGGGCAAGAACTGAAGCCATACATGCTAATAACATGGAAAAGGCTAGGTCATTATGGGCCGACATTTTATCACAAGGACATTCCACAACAGCATCTTACTGGTTAGAGTATATTTCATTAGAAAGGTAATTTCTTGTATTTATTTTTAATGAGTCTAACAGTTTATGATATGTTACATTCTACTTTGGATTTGATAATAAATTTTTTTTTATGTAGATGTTATGGAGATACAAAACATTTAAGAAAATTATTTCAAAAAGCCTTGTCATTGGTAAAAGATTGGCCAGAAAGCATAGCAAATTCTTGGATAGATTTTGAACGAGACGAAGGTACACTAGAACAAATGGAACTATGTGAAATACGAACAAAAGAAAAATTAGATAAAGTTGCTGAAGAAAGACAGAAAACACAACAAATTTCTAATCTTGAATTATCACCATCACAAAACAAGAAAGCGTATAAAAGAAAACAAAAAGATACTGGTAAATGGAAGAATTTAGGAGCTTATCCGATAAAAATTATGAAAGTGGAAACACACTTAAAACCGAAAATAAGAGAAAGTCATCTGAATTTCGAAAAGAAAGACGACGTTGACATTGAAGAAGAAGAAATTGCTGATGTAACCAAAACGAAACTAATGAAGAAAGTACTGAAGGAACCAAACATTCCTCCACCACCTGGTTTTAAAGCACCAGAAAGTGAACAAATGGAAATAGATTACGTACATGAAGTGGATGATAAAATCTCAGTTTTCATAAGTAATTTAGATTATAGTGCAAGTGAAGAAGAAGTCAGAAATGCTTTAAAACCGGCTGGACCGATTACAATGGTTAAGATGATCAGAAGCTATAATGGACGTAGTAAAGGATATTGCTATGTGCAACTCACTTCCAAGGTGCAAATTATATTTTTTGTTAATAATAAAATTACATAAGTATATATACAGAATATTTAATTAAGAATATTACTTTTATAGGAAGCAGTTGATAAAGCTTTGGAGTTAGATAGAGTTCCTATAAGAGGACGGCCAATGTTTGTTTCAAGATGCGACCCAAACAAAACAACACGAGAATCTGTTTTTAAATATAGTTGTTCTCTAGAAAAAAATAAGCTTTTCGTTAAAGGTAGGTAATATCTAACCCTCAGTTGATATTCTTGGAATATAGACGAGCCACAACTATCTTATTATTATTAGTTCGACTTTTTAAAAGTTGTATGGATGTTGTAAACGTTTTTATACTTGTGTTGAGATATTAGTCATGTTTTGAATCCAGTTGTTAACTGTTTTAATCACATTTGGATTCAACATAATAATTGTGTTATTTCTTGAAGAATAAATAATATTTAAAATGTTTAAAAATTTAACATCTATGAAATTCGTGGAGATCGAAAACAATTTATTAAATATAAATAACGCTGCGATATTGACTGAATAAAAGTGATGAGACTTTCGATAATATTCAAGTAAAAAGAGAACATCCCGATCATGATACTAAAACAGAAATTGAAGCTGACAATGAAGAAATCCCTATTAAGGAAGAAGATAAAAGATATTTTTATGATTGTAACCGCCTAAAATGGCGTACTAAGATATCTCCTATAAGTTCTAGAATCTAAACTGAAGATACATATTAAAGGAAGGTTTGCAGCAAAGGAAGCTGCCGAATTAAAAACCTAACTATATCTTTCACATCATTATGAGATATACACAGAGAGACTGCAATATTCATATAAAATTGTAAGAAAGACTATTCTCTTTATAGTTATACAATTGTAGATAAAATGATGATTGGATTTCATTCAGCGATACAGACTAAAAAATTTTACGCCTATAAGATTCTGGAACATATTTCATCAACTCTTTTTATATACTGGAAAGATTGCAAATCTAGAACAGTTTGGATTAGGTTTACTTTATCAGAAGAAATAAGAAAACAGTTTTCTTAGTTTCGTTTTTTCATCCACAATCTTATGAAGCAAAAATCAATTGCTTATAAAAATTGCAATAAAATGAAATGCAATAAAAAATATACTATGTATTCGTGCAATCGTAGAATTAAACGATATTAATTTGAAATTTTTTATATCTTTCATACTGCTATAATCACATTATATTATTATGCTGATACAAATTTGAATATGAGAAGAAGACAATTTATACAAAAAACAAAATCTTTAATCTGGTCAAGAATCAAATAAAGTAACATTATGATATTTTAATACTATGAGAGATTCCTCAAAAAATTAGAGAATTACTAAAAATTACAGATGATCCAATACATGAGGAGGCTCACCCAGCGAAAAGGCGACGCTGCAAAGAATGTCCAAGCAAGCTTGACAGAAAACATTCTACATGTTGCATGAAATGCAAAAAAACAATCTGTAAACAACATTCGTTGCGACCGATTTATTGTTTCACTTGCATCGAAAGTCTATAAAAGTTATCGTACTATATGCTAGTATTCCAAAAAAGATAGTATTCTATCAATACCAAAGTGATCAGATTTATTAATAAAATTTTAGTTTATACTTGTTTGTATTTCTTTTTAAATATTATTTTCAGTCAGTGTACACCACATTATTTAGTAATAATGTAATAATGTAATTAAGAAAAACATATCCTTTACTTTTTATCTTATTTTATCGTTCTTTTCGTAATTACGTAATAATGAAATTTTTGTAAAAGATCCGCTATATATCTCATGTATCCTACATGATTGGTCATAACAATTATGTTAGAAATGCTATTCACTCCCCCTACAAAATAACCGGTCTTAATTGAACTTATAATAACAGTTATCAATATATCACGATATCAACTGAGGGTTTAAATTAGTGTTTAAAATTGTAATTTTAGAAAAGTGTATTTATTTTTATAATATGATTAGGACTCCCGGTATCAACGACAAAAGAAGATCTTGAAGAAATTTTCAAGGTTCACGGGTCATTGAAGGAAGTCCGTATAGTCACTTACCGTAATGGCCATTCTAAAGGACTGGCTTACGTTGAATTTGTGGACGAAAACAGTGCTGGAAAGGCACTTCTGGCCATTGATGGAATGAAGATCGGTGACAAAATAATTAGTGTAGCCATAAGCCAACCGCCTGAACGCAAAAAGGATCCCATTAAGTCTCTAGGTGGTTCTACAGTAAGCAGAACTACATTTGGTACGCCCAAAACATTATTATCTATGGTACCTCGTACTGTAAAAACTGCTGCTACTAAGGGCAGTGCAATTGCAACTGGAAATGGTGCCGTCCCAAAAATGAGCAATCAAGATTTTAGGAATATGTTATTGAATAAAAAATAATTTACTACAACGTCACTCATTTCCTCAATCCTTGTCTGTTTCAAGAACTCTCTATGCTTTAAAGAATTGTATACATCACAAGAATATTACAATTACACATTATTTAAACTACGATCTAGTGGAAAAAGATCTCTTGTGAATTATTCTTTCTTTAATGCATTATTTAAGACATTATTTTGAAAAAGAAGATGCAAATGAAAGGAAGAACCACAAATTCTTAGAAAATAAATATGTTTAATGTAAGAAAGTTTATATATACAGAATGAAAATGCGTGTGCAAGTGAGCGCGTATTACTCTAAACGCAAACGAGAACTTCCTCATCATGCATACATCACAGTGTCAAATATACATTTACCGTACAGATACGTACGATAGAAAAATCGTCCGAATTATTACAAGTGAAAAATCGAATAAGAAGGAAAGTTGTGTCGCAAGTAACAATAAATCAGGGTGACCATTTTTCTCAATATTAAACAAGAATTCTTCTTCTGTGTATCTTGTATATATATAATATATATATATCGTATAAAATTATATTAAAAGACGTTGTAAAATGTTTTCAAAAGACAACGTATACAAAATTATTTTCTGGTCACCCTACATTGAAATACAAATATTCTTCTACAACTGCAATGGTGCACTGAACGTGTTGTGTTTTTTATGTCTCGGTGGAGCGACAGGTGGACTTTCAGGTGTCAGTAACCGCCTCGTCATAAGCCACTTTTTGGCTCGGCCAGAGTGATAATAATACGAGTAAAGCAATGCCATAGCCGCCAGCACAACCAGCAGGCACGTACCAGCGATAATGATACTGAATAACCAATATGGCCCACTTGGTTCTGGCACCAATGTTGTGTCTGTTGGCGATTTTTCTTCTGGGATCGATTTTGTCGGCGGTTCTGCTGGTGGTCGAGGTGAAAGAGGCTCCACGTCATCCCCGATGCTAATATCAGCACAAGCACGAAATTCCTCTTGAGGACCACAACCCACGGCTCCTATGCGGACATAGTGTTAGTATACTTTCATAGTTTAATATTTTATGTATTTTTTAATGGAATTATGTGCGACTTTTCCTTTATAATTTGTGTATTTGTCATTTTTATATATTTATTCTGTACCAAAATTATTTTGCAAATCTTATCCTCGTAATTCACGATGTATAATGGTGTATCGTATAGGGTTTCAAGGTTTATTTGATTTTTCTGATCTGTTTTCGATACATTGAGATTTAATCGCAAATAATGTTGAAAGTAAAATTGTTAAATTACATCGTAATTATTGTGGATGTAAACTTTTTACATGTGGATGTAAACATTTAGGAATCCTAAATACGTTATTAGTATATTAAAATATATTATCATATAATATATTATTTGATAATATATTAATATAAATATATTATATATAAATATAATATAATATATTATTATATAATATATATATTTGAAATAAAGTTGAAATAATGTTTGTATACGAGATTTGAAGATAATAAAATGGTTGCTTAAAGATGAACTTCATCGAGAATATTAATTGTTCTGAAGCAACCATTTAATGTGAATATTATGTAATATTTAGTAATTTAGTACGTACATGTACCTATTAATAGTTGAAACTTTCCATCTGTACTTCGATAGAATACTAATATTATTTACTTGTGTAATAAGAATTAGCTTGACAAAATATTTAGCTTCAATACGAACTAAGAAATTGCTTGTAATTATTCTTAAAAAGAAATACAAAATCTCTCATTTATATAAATTCTCAGAAATGTTAACTTACAAAATATATATCTTTTCATATCAATAATAGATTTTTCAAAATCCATTAAAGTTCTTTAAATGCAAATTATCATAACAATTATCGATAACAAATAAGAGTATTAGTATTAGCAGTTTGGTAGTACGACTAGTAACAATCAATATTCACATTAAAATATTTCCTAAACTAATGAATTTTCATATAGCTTGATATAACTTATTTATCAATTAAAGCATGTATAATTCCATTTAAAGTAACTCCAACCTTTTACGTTTTCTAGAAAAAGAAAATATTTTAGAAATTTTTCCTCGCGCTATTTATTGATGACTAAAAAATATCGATTAATTTTACGTGCAAATTTGTTCTATTAAATTACGCCTTATATATAGCCGTAACATTTCTATTTGATTTCTTTAAAATATGAAAAGGTAATTCAATTTATCCTACTTTATTCTTCGTATAATTAACGATTTAATCGTTTTCGCCCCTTCGAACAAACACTTCATTCAACAAACTTTTCTCAATAAACCTAAAATCCAATCTCTATGCACCGCTTCAACAACAATCTCTTCGATACCTACGTGAGGTCGAAGCTTTTGTCGCAAACGGCGTCTCTCGAATATGCATCCTGCCCGGTGGCTCGAACAAAACGCGGGTTAATGTTCGTTCCGGAATTACGTGGGACAGAGATTCGTTCCAATGAAAAACTCGTGCCCAAGTACGGTTATTCAAAGATAGTGCGACAGCTATCTGCTCGCATTCGAATTTCGAGTGCGCGAGAAGCATCGTGAATACAATATTGTCGACGAGTAAAACGCTGAAAACGTCGTACAATACCTGTTCCGTTTCCACAGTCGCCCCAATTATTTCCAGCCACGTATCTCCATTGAAAGACGCATTGGGCGCAAGTCAGGTCGTCCGGTAGTTTGTAGAAAGCCTCAAAAATTTTGTTTCCAGGCCCGGGATAATATCTGATCGATTCGTTCTTCGAGCGTAGCAGGTGTTGGTCCAGACATTCCTGATCAACTTCTTTGCCCTTGTAGGTCATCGAGCACGTGCGAAACTCGAAGTAACCGTGATGGTTGGCCGTAAGTTCCACGCGAACCGGTATCACCGAACCTGTTCGATATTTCCTTACTATCACTCCGTTTCCGAATTTGCCGCCGGTCTCGTGCAGACGAGGCTGTAACGATACAGTTTTCTTTTCTTTTTCAGGACAACTTCCAGAAAGTTTTCTGTGAAACGTAATGATCCGTTGCGAATTGCTTTGGTCTTTGTTAGAGAAGATACGCGCTCTACGTGTACAAAGGAATTTTGATTACCTTTGGTTGTAATTAATTGTCGATTATCAATTTATATAATGTTTAATGTTTAATATTGACATAATAATTGTAGTATAATTATAATATTTAATTTGTATTTATCATATAATATTATATTTATATATTTATATAATTATAACATTAAATAATTATATCAAATATTATAATTATGTTTAATATAAGCAGAGCATGTACATGTACGTAGATACTTGATCCCTAAAGAAAACTTAATACTTTTACAAAATGTAAGATTATAGTTGCCCGAGTTACTTTTGGATCTTGATATAAGTTTGAACTTCACATTGAAGATTATAAATCTCCTGGAAGAAACTTTATATTATACGTGAAAAATGAATGATGTACGTAACACGTTACGAAGCCTAACTCTGGAAAGTTATGAGATACATCACAGTTTGGTGGAAGTAGTTACGAAAATACGATCGTAAAATTCCTAATAATTACGTTCTGTTATCCAGTTAACGAGATGTAAAGTTGGGGAAGAGTAAGTCGTAAAAGGTTTCTACGAGATTTAAGTGTGTTGATATAATCGATTACAACAGTCGAAGGAATATCTTTTAGTCAATGTTGAATTCATAGGAGACTCGAATGAACATCTTCGAAAAATTTAAAGCGGCATTATACTATTATATTGACAATAATACTATCGTTTGCAAACGTTTCTACCGTATTATATAATTTCTTAAATTTATGTTGAACTCCCTTTTATTTTGTAAGATTAAAGTATTATAATTTACTTTATTCATTTATCGAAAATATAGAAATTTGCGGTTTCAATTAACTATAAAAAGCCTATATATACATATGTGCCAATATATTAACTATTACGTTTAACTACTTGATTTAGTTAATTTCCATCGTTACAATTAGAATTCGTTCAACTTCGATGAAAATCGTTTCTTGTTTAACTTTCACATTTTATTCGTTGTTCGTTCGTTTTAGTCGTCAGATTTGTTCAAGCTACGGAACTCCTGTATAGTTAACTAAAAAAAAAAAAAACTGTTTAAATTGCGGAAAACAAAATAAACCAAGTTTAAACGAATAAACCGCAGAATGTAAAGTAAAGCAATTGCACGCGTTGAATGTAAAAAATTCGAATGCGAGTACAATCGTTTTTGTACAATTCATGCATATAAATTATCAAAAATAACCAAAAGCAAAGTATTTGTCGTGTCGTTTAATTAAAATAATCCCGATATTTAAATAAATAATTAAAACGTATACATTCTATACCACTTTATTCCCTCCAATTCTCGTCGGATAATAGTTTTTTCCCTTTTATCTTCGCATTTGACAATTAAACAAGAAACTGTAAGCTTGTAGTTCTGTAAGGTATATATTTTCGGGACTAGTGTTGAAACTCGTGGTATTGTTGCAGCGGGCGTATGTCCACCCGACAGACCGGAAAACCGCAAATAGTAATTTATTCTATGTCGCAAGAATGTTGCCAGGTGATAATTACACGAAACCTCACAATGGAATCGTCTCGTCCGATGCACCTGCCTTTCTTTTTTTTTACGATTTAATGCTATTTTTTATTCAATGTTACAATGGTTCACTTTTCTCTTTTATCTTTCTGTGTTAAGCGAACAATACGATAATCGAGAGATACAGGCAACGTTTACGTATTTTAACAATAAGTAACTTTCTTTCTTCCATTTATCCGATTTAATGCTATTTTCTTATTTGATGTTAGAGATGTTTACTTTTCCATTCGATGTTTCCGTGTCGAGTATGCGATACGTCGAGCAGAAGATACGCTGAACGTTTTCATCTAGTAATAAGTAAATGTTTGACTGTAATTACATTACTGTTAAGCTAACTTATTGCAAATGCAGACAACGCATGAGTGTAAAGATATGCTGATTAATAAAGTCGGATAGTAATGAATTGATAGTGCGCGGTTGCGCTCGGGGAAAAAACGAATTCACGAGGAAAGGAAAGCTCTTTAAACAATTCAACTTTTTCCGCTGCTACCCTTCTTTTTTATGTTTGCAAGCAAAATAGAGGCGTAGCTTGTCCCAGTTACGTGATTAACGCTTGTATATATTTAGCGGAATTTTTCATCGT